GATCTAACTCACTGCAACCATGAACTCCTATGCTGGAGTTATCTCCTGGTCTCAGCATCCCAAGTAGCTACAAGGACTATAGTTGTGTGCCACCACACCCGGCTAATTTTCTACTTTTTAAATTTTTGTAGAGATGGGTCTTGCTATATTGCCCAGGCTGTTCTCATATGTCTTGCTTCAAGTAATCCTCCTGCCTCGCCCCCACCAACAATGTTGGGATTACAGGTATGAGTCACTGCTCTTGGCCTGACTCCAATTTTGAAAGATGTTCTACTGTGGGTAAAATGCTATCAAATAGCATCTAATGCTACAGAGAAATCTTTAGTGAAAGGAAGTCGATCAGTGCAGCAAATTTCATTGTTGTCTTATTTCAGTAAATTGCCACAGCCACCCCAACCTTAGGACACCCCGACCCCGATAAGTTAGCAGCCATCCACATCAAAACGCAACCTTTTCACCAGCAAAAAGATAAATTCTGGCTGACGGCTCAGACGATCAGTAGCATTTTTAAGCAATAAAATATTTTAAAATTAAGGTATGTACATTATTTTTTAAAGATATAATGCAACTGCACATTTAAAAGACTACAGTATAGTGGAAACAAAGCTTTTGTACATACTGGGAAACAAACAAAAAAATCCATGATTGCTTTAGTATAGTGGTGATCTGGAACCAAACCTGCAATATCTCCAAGATATGCCTGTACTTACTGGCTTTCACAATAATGTAAGAAAGACCAAATTAGGTAAAATTCAATATTCTGTTTCCAAATCATGTGTAAGGTCATGGTACCCTCAATGATGCTACATTCAAATTGTTCTGGACATGCTCTAAAACATCCCTGGTTTTTCTTCACAATTTAAAAGCTTTGTCTATCCTTTATCAGCCTTCATTTTTACAGACTAAAGAAATCAAATTATTAAAGTTAGGAAATTTATTCAAAATTCTTAAAACAGACCTTTCTACAGGTAGTATAAATTTTTCTAGTCTTAAGCTGGTAACTTTAATTTTCATCATTTTAATAAATATTTCCTTGTGTAGAAAATTTTCTCTATGGTAGCAATGACTAAAGACACAATTGGCTTAGAACTGCATGTCATTAGAACCAAAGGGAACTCAGAAGTTAAATGCAACTTTTTCCTTTTACAAATGAGGAAACTGAGACTTAGTGTTGAGTAGTGGCTTTCCTACAGTAAAACAACCAAAAACCTGAGCTAAATTATCCAACAAAACAGTTCTCTTCAAACTGCAGATCAGGACCAATCAATTAGGTAGGTTGCTATCAGCATTTTAAAAAAGCAACAGAGTAGAAAATATCAGAGGCATTTCTTGTAGAACTTTTTAGTTATATGCATATATGAGCTCATAATGTAAAATGCAATTATTATAGTGGTCAAAAGTTTGGAAGTCATTGCAATAAAATATCTAATATTTTGAGTAGATTTAGCAATTTATTCTTAGTCTCACTCTCTTGCCCAGGCTGGAGTGCAGTGGTGTGATCTCAGCTCACTGCAACCTCCGCTTCCCGGGTTCAAGTGATTCTTCTGAATCAGCCTCTGGAGTAGTTGGGGTTAAAGGTGTGTACCACCTTGCCTGGCTAATTTTTGTATTTTTAGTAGAGATGAGGTTTTGGCATGTTGGCTAGGCTGATCTTGAACTCCTGACCTCAGGTGATCCACCAGTCTTGGCCTCCTGAAGTGCTGGGATTACAGGTGTGAGCCACCATGCCTGGCCATAAAAATGTATTCTTATTTTAAAATTATGATAATTAAAATGACTATTATGATACAATTTATTTATCATGACTCATTGTAAGCTAATAAAATATCTCTGCATTAAATACTACATGCCACTATCTAGAAGAAGCAATTTTTTCCTACCTAAAAGAAGACTGGCTCAGGACATTGTATCCCATATCATATGTGAACAGACTTTCTTTAAACTATCACATTTCTGTAGCATTTAAATATGCAATAGCTAGACAAGCTTTTTAAAATATCAAATTCTAGAATTCTGATCCTGAGCACAGGTAAAAAGATGTCTCTGAAAAAACAGTGACCTCTAGTGGATTCATTAAGTAGTACGGACATAATCCCTGCCCCTAAGAATTTGGAAATTAAGGTAACACAAATGCATCCAGATATAAGATACTGATATGGTTATAAACTGACAAGTGTTATATATAATTAAAGGCTATGGTTAAGCTATACAATGAGGCAAATGCATATATATATATTCACTGGTTTCTTCTAATCAAGTGGAATATAATGAATAGAATCCTAGTCTCATACAGATCTAGGATTCTCACTAGTTTAAGAAATACATTTAATGAAGGGGTTGGATTAAATCTAAGGACCCTTTTACCTTTTAATTATAATCCTTTCTTCTTTAATTCATTTTGTATGCCAATATCAAATTCTGCTCAAAAACATTTGATGGCTCCCCAGGACTTGAGGGTTTACCAGTCAGCCTGGCCCTTTGTTATTTACCTATTGTTATCTTATATTGTTTCCCAGAATATACCCTTATTTCAAGTAGGCCAAGGTTCAATATCCCAACCCATTCCAACAAGATTATTTTCTCACTTTTGCTCACAGTTTCTCATTATGCAATATCCTAACCTTGCTAATTTATAGGACAGATCCCTATTAAAATCAAAGCAAATGTGTTTAATTCATGCTCTACCATCCAGTGACTGTTAAATTCACATGTTGGATTTTATATTTGCATATGTGTATGTGTGTAGCCTGCCACGTACTAAGCACTTACAGCATATTTGAATGTAAATTAAGTTGATTTATTTAGATTAGGGAAATAAAGACCCTTTTTTATTTTGAGATGGAGTCTTGCTGTGTCACTAGGCTAGAGTGTAGTGACAGGACCTCGACCTTGGCTCACTGCCACCTCTGACTCCCAGGTTCAAGCAATTGTCCTCCTCAGCCTCCCAAGTAGCTGGGACTAGAGGTGGGTGCCACCACGCCCAGCTAATTGTTGTGTTTTTAATGGAGACAGGGTTTCACCATGTTGGCCAGGATGTTCTCGATTTCTGGACCTTGTGATCTGCCCACCTTAGCCTCCCAAAGTACTGGGATTACAGGTGTGAGTGAGCCACTGTGCCTGGCACAAAGGCCATTTTCATTATTTTTTTTAAGTGAGGTAGGGAAGGGTATACAGCTAAGGTAGAATTTCAAGAACTGCAAGTATAAAGTAAAAGGGCTCAAGTTTTGGGAAAAAGTGAGTGTTCTGAATACAGGATGGTAAGATTTTAGGAAAACGAGGAAGACCTGTTTTACTTTGTTTTATTTATTTATTTCATTTTTGAGACAGAGTCTCACTCTGTGGCCCAGGCTGGAGTTCAGCAGCACGATCTTGGCTCACTGCAACCTCTGTCTCCCAGATTCAAGTGATTCTCCTGCCTCAGCCTCCTGAATAGCTGGAGTACAGGTGCCCGCTACCACACCCAACTAATTTTTATATTTTTAGTAGAGACAGGGTAACACCATATTGGCCAGGCTGGTCTCAAACTCGTAAGATCAAGTGATCCACCCACCTTGGCCTCCCAAAGTGTGGGGATTAATGGCATTAGCCATTGCACCAGACTGGAAAACTTGTTTTAAATTAGCTGAAGGAAGTACCAATACCTACGCTTGAAGAAAACAGAGATGGCAGGAAAGGTGGTTTGGTAAATAGTTTTGAAGCAGTTGAGGTAGATATGAGGATGGCACAGAGGGTTAAATTAAAAATGTAGAGAATATATCTTTTGAAGCAAAGTTAAGGATAACTTGAGGAAACACTGGCTTCAGTGGGGAATAAAATGTTTCTCTCAGAGGACTGGTAAAGTAATGGGCAGCTCTAATGACAGAAATGTTAAGAAAAGAGAAGGAGAGTAAGTCGAAAAGTACTCTTAGAACAATGCCATAGTCTTTTATTTTCCCGACAAGAATGCTGACAGGCTGGTGGTGAAATGAACAATTTAGTCTTTGTTACGTTTAACACAATTATCAAAGGCCACACAGTGTTATGTTTTCAATATCCTAAACCACACAGGATTGGATTGGCAGGCAGAGGCGTCTGCCATAACAGGTGTTGCTGTCAGTCTTATTGGTGTTATTTGAATTGAGAGTGGTATCATATTGCCTCATGCATCAGGAAAGACTTGAAGGTTTTTGGCTTTTTTTTTTTTTTTTTGAGGCAGAGCTTTTTAGTTACCTTGCATCTCATTATGTTTAGGTCATTAGTTTATTTAGCATAGTTCCTATCTTACCACAAGTTAATACCGCCTTGTGTTGTTATAATCTATTCTTTCAAACATGAATTTATTTTGGGAATTATCTCATTAAGCCTTTTATTGGAATTTCTAGGCAATGCAGTTTAATTACCATAACAATAATTTTTGTTATCTTTCTATTATTAAGCTATTTCACCCTCAATAATAAAAGTTTGTTGACTTTAGCATCTAGTAAATCACTGCAAGTATTTAAATCATTTCCCAAGAGGCTAAACTCCAGCATTGCCCATAAACTTTTTACAAAAAGAAAAAAATTAATTTTTGTCTGTCTTTAAATTGATAAAATACTGTATTGATTTTTATAAAGATTAAATGAATTAGGAACCTGAACTTTCTAACCTTCCTCACAGCAGAGTTCACTTAGATCCTGAGACCCAGTAACTTCTGAAAAAATTTAATATTCTTCCTCCAGGATTTTTTATTATCAGGCTTCACAGACATTACTAGCATCGCAGGGCACTGGAATTAAAGTTCTGATTTTGTAATTAAAGCTAAAACAACAAACAACGTTTGTATTTATGCATTTTCTAATTTTAAGTATAAAATATTTAAATAGCTAGCTTAAAATATAACATTTCCCCATAATTAAAGTGTACAAAAGGGTAACTTTTTACAGAAAACTGGAGCTACTCTCAGTTAATCTCAAAAAGCAGAAACAAATTATTAGAATAGAATATATGAACAAATGTGTATAGGCAATGACTTAAATTACCTCTCTTCTTCTCGAACCCACACTGGAGTTTTGGGAATTTGTGCTTCAAAAAACTTAGATGCTTGATAACAAAAATTGCTGCAAAAAGACTGAAAAGAACATTATAAATCTCGTTTTTTTTCTTATTGTGAAACATTACCTACATACAGTTCACAGTATAAAACACAAACGTATAGTTCAAAGAATAAAATGGAAACCTACAAGTCTACCACCCGAGGTAAGAAATAAGGGACAGACAGAACCTTTGAAGGCTTCTATGTGCCCCTTCCCAACTGCACCACACTCCACATTCCCCAGAAGTAACCACTATCATACATTTGGTATTAATCATTCTCTTATTTCCCTTCAGTTTTAGCACCTGTGTACATATCCCTATTAAAAAATATTCAGTTTTGCCTATTTTTAAACTTTTTTAATGGAATAATATTGTTATACATTTTTATCTTCCTTTGTTCATTTATTAAATTTTATTGTTTTAGAGACAGGGTCTCACTCTGTTGTCCAGGCTTCAGTGCAGTGACACAATCATAGCTCACTGTAGCCTCTATCTCCTGGGCTCAAGCAATCCTCTGGCCTCAGCTTCCTGAGTAGCTGAGACTATAGGCATGCCACCACACCTGGCTATTTTATTTTTTTGTAGAGATGGGGTCTCGATTTGTTGTCCAGGCTGGTCTTGAATTCCTGGCCTCAAGTGATCTTCCCTCTGGCCTTCCAAAGTGTAGGAATTAATAGGTGTGAGCCACCATACCCAGCCACTTCTTTTGTTTAAAATTGTTTTTAAGATTCATTCAGGTAGATATATCTTATTCATTTTCACTGTGTATTACATTCCATTGTGTTAGTATATTACACTTTACCATTTAAAACTGAGTTGTTTCTAATTTTTTTGCTATCACTACAATGTTACTATAAACTGTTTTTACAATTAAAACGTCTTAAATAGTGGTAAAATATAAATAATATGAAAATTATCATCGTAACCATTTTTAAGGGTATAGCACAGTGTTGCCAGGCGCCAGGCTGGAGTGCAGTGGTGTGATCTTGGCTCACTGCAACCTCTGCCTCCCGGGTTCAAGCAATTCTCTTGCCTTAGCCTCCCGAGTAGGTGGGACTACAGACGTGTGCCACCACGCCCAGCTAATTTTTGTATTTTTAGTAGAGATGGTGTTTCACCATGTTGGCCAGGATGGTCTCGACCTCTTGACCTCATGATCCACCTGCCTCGGCCTCTCAAAGTGCTGGGATCACAGGTGTGAGCCACCGCACCTGGCCTAGAACTCTTTTTATCTTACAAAACTGAAACCCTATACATTAACTTCCCATTCCCACTTTTGCTGATGATCATTCTACTTTCTGTCTCTATTAATTTGACATCTGTAGGTACCTCATGTAAGTGAAAGTATACAGTATTTGTCCTTTTGTGCTGGCTTATTTCACTTAGCATATTATCTTCAAGGTTCATCCACCTGTTAGCATGTGTAAGAATTTCCTTCCTTTTTTAAGGCAAATATTCCATTGTGTGTATATATCACATTGTTTATCCAGCTCTGAACATTTTTATACATATATACTGGTATACATGTGTAAGAATTTCTTTAGGGTATATACCAAGGAATAGAAAGTTTTAATTATAGAGAATGTGCAAAGTTGACTTTGCCAGACAAATGCAAACCATTTCTCAAAAAGGCTGTACCAATTTTCATTCCCACTAGTTGCAAAAAGATTTCCTAATATTTGCAATCTTGTGGGGGCTGTGAAAACATAACTCAATGTGTTGCTGCTATTTCTCTGATTACTGATAAGATTGAGCATCTTTTCATATGTTTATTACCCATTCAAGTTCCTTGTGTAAATTTTTCTATTAGTTTGTTGGTCTTTTTCTTATAGATTATATATTCTAGATATGATTCTATGGTCAGTTATACGTGGGAAATAATAACATTCTGATTTGTGGCTTCTCTTTTCATCCTTTTTTTTGAAACTTCTGATGAACAAAAGTTTTATATTTTAATACAGAAATATTTATCAGTTTCTCCTCTTTGGTCAATAATTTTCCCTCTTATTTTATAGAGTCTCTGTACTACAAGTTTATATCTCCCATATTTTTTTTTCTGGAGACAATGTCCCACTCTGAGGCCCAGGCTGCAGATGACATGCAGTGGCAGGATTTTGGCTCACTGCAACTTCTGCCACCCAGATTCAAGTGATTCACGTGCCTCAGCCTCCTGAGCTGGGACTACAGGTGCATATCACCACATCTGGCTTTTGTACTTTTTGTAGAAACAGGGTTTCGCCATTGCCTAGGCTGGCCTCGAACTCCTTGAGGTCAGGTAATCTGCCCACCTTGGCCTTCCAAATGCTAGGATTACAGGGATGAGCCACTGCATTCAGCCTCTCCCATACTATCTTCAAAAAGAATCTCCTTTTACATTTATGTCTTTAATCTACCTAAAAATGATCTGTGCATACAGCCTAGGATAGGCATCAATTTTCATTTTTTCCATTTGTATAACTAATTGTGCCAGTATAATTTATTGAAAAATCCATCCTTTCTTTACTGATCTCCAGTACTCCCACTGACAAATATCAGCTGTCTACATATGTGTTTAGTCTGTTACTGACTCTCTATTCTGTTCCATGATTTATTTGCTTAGATTTGAACCAATAGGCACTTTTAACTTTTAAATGTTCAAGTCTTATCGAAAACTTAAGCAAAAAAAATTTTTTTTTTAATTATTATTTTTTTTATTGCATTTTAGGTTTTGGGGTACATGTGCAGAACATGCAGGACAGTTGCATAGGTACACACGTGGCAGTGTGATTTGCTGTCTTCCTCCCCTTCACCCACATCTGGCATTTCTCCCCATGCTATCCCTCCCCAGCTCCCCCCCACGCTGTCCCTCCCCTATTTCCCCCACTAGACCCCAGTGTGTAGTGCTCCCCTCCCTGTGTCCATGTGTTCTCATTGTTCATCACCCACCTATGAGTGAGAATATGCGATATTTCATTTTCTGTTCTTGTGTCAGTTTGCTGAGAATGAATTTTTTAATACCTTGACTGAGATTTTTACAAATAAAACCAAACTTTTAACATCATGATTTTCTAACCAGTAAGATTTTAAACAATTACTTTTAGAATCCTGTTTAGTTTCATTAAAAATTAATTGCCATTCCTTGTTAGGGTAGTGGTTAGTAAAGAAAAATATGACTTGCCATAATGAAACCCTTTAAACTCACCTTTCTTTCAGTAATATCATAGACTTTATTGGTTTTGGTAGAAATTTTATATTTCTGTTTTGGTACCTAAAGAAAAGAAAGTACAACTTACGCAAGAATCCAAATAATACACATGAACCTTATGTTACAAGATTAAGTCATCTACATATCGTATCATTGGCTAATCCATGCCATTAGTTCATGACTTTAGGTTGCATTTCTTGTTCTTACAACAAAGTACTTTGCTAAATGGAAATAATAAAAGCCTATATTTAAAAAGAAAATGAGTTACTTACAGTTCCCAGCTTCTTCTGACATAAAGGATAACCACAGAGTTTGACAATAGAACGTTCATCCACGACATCACTGTAGTGAGCAGGTGTAATGAACTTCCCCTATAATGAAATGAGAGGGTTATTTCTTCCTGGATTAATAGAAAAGTTCATTTATCAGCTCTCTAAGCCTCAGCCATCTTATCTGAAAATACAGGAATCACAATAGTACCCTCCTCATAAGTTAGAGGTTAGAATTAGAAGAGAAAATAAAGCAAAATCACTTAGAGAAGTGCTCAACATACAGTAAGCATTTAAAAAATGTTATTATTTAAAAAATTTCTGCCATGGTAGTCTCTGCATCGTTGTAGGTTATATAGTTAAATGAAATAATTCTGAGGCAGGAGGAAGAAATGGTGCTATAGCTATACCAAAGCTAAATGACAACAGTTATCTTTTATTTTTAAAAAATTAAAAAATTTTTTACTAAATCACAAAGTAATAAAATATGTTACCTATTTTTAAAAGCATAATCTTTAAAAAGAAAGTATTTCAAAGGTGGCATTGTGACTCCTGAACACATTTTGTGCAAAATCTTCCTACTTCTGAAAAATCTGTACAGAGTGGTGAGGAGATGGTTTTAAGCTAACAGCAAATACTTTCCTTTTACATCTTCATGATCAAATAATCTCAATTCTTGTTTCATAACTTTGAGATCTTTTAACAAGTTTTTATGTTTTCACAGGGACTAAAATACTTTTTGAGAGTGATATAACTTTTATGTTTCAAATGAAGCATATTTGCCTTCGTCTTTTTTGGTGTCATCATAGATTCTGATGCAGTTAGCTGTGTCGATTAAAATAAGAATTGTCGGCCAAGCGTGGTAGCTCATGCCTGTAATCCCAGCACTTTGGGAGGCCGAGGCAGGTGAATCACGAGGTCAGGAGATTAAGACCAGCCTGGCCAACATGGTGAAACCATCTCTACTAAAAATATAAAAATTGGCTGGGTGTGGTGGTATGTGCCGGTAATCCCATCTACTCAGGAGGCTGAGGCAGGAGAATCTCTTAAACCAGGGAGTTGGAGATTTGCAGTGAGCCAAGATTGCACCACTGCACTCCAGCCTGGCAACAGAGGGAGATTCCATCTCAAAAAAAAAAAAAAAAAGAATTGTCATGTTCATATTTCTATTTAGAAAAAGATCTATGAACCATACTAGAAGTGTTTTTGAAATAGAAGCTCTGAGTTTTTATTTGTCCTCTTAAGGATTAAGAGAATATAAAAGAAATTTTCCATTCAAAATTTTAATGTAGTAAAGCTGTTTAAAATTTTTTTTATTCTCAAAGTTTTAGACAAGGTCTTGCTATGTTGTCCAGGCTGGTCTCAAACTCCTGCGCTCAAGCAATCCTATCACCTTGGCTTCCCACAGTGCTGGGATTATAGGCATGAGCCACTATGCCCAGCATAAAAGAATTTAATGCAGATTATAATTCTCCTATTTTATGTTAAATCATAAATAATGTATATTTCAGGTTTTTAAAATATCAAAATTGATGAAATTATATTGACAAGAATAATATTCTTGTGTTACTTAAAATAGCACAACACAGAATATAGAAAACTGGCATTGCAATCACAGAACTGAAGAAAATCAAGTGATATTAGTAGACTGGTTAAATGAACTACAACTAAGAGTAAAATATACTTGCTTTTTCTTTTTTTTTTCCTCCCCATCCTCATTTTTCTTTTTTTCTCTTTATTAGAGTCTCACTCTTGTTGCCCAGGCTGGAGTGCAGTAGTGTGATCTCAGCTCATTGCACCTCTTGCCTCCTGAGTTCAAGCAATTCTCATACCTAGCCTCCTGAATAGCTGGGATTATAGGTGTGAGCCACTACACCTGGTTAATTTTGTATTTTTAGTAAAGATGGGGGGGGGGGTCTCAATATGTTGGCCAGGCTGGTCTCAAACTCCTGACCTCAAGTGATCCATCCATCTTGGCCTCCCAAAGTTACAGACATGAGCCATTGTGCCCGACCTCTTCTTTTTAATTGTATTTATATTTAATTCTTTATATTTGTAGGGTAATATGTGATGTTTTAACACATGTATATCTTGAGCATATCAGGCTAATTAACATATCCATCACCTCACATCTTTATCATTACTTTGTGGTGAGAACATTTAAAATCCACTTATTAATTCTGAAATATACATTACCTATCATCACCTTATTACGTACTTGTTACTTTTCTTTTTGAGACAGAGTTTCACTCTTCTTACCCAGGCTGGAGTGCAATGGCGCGATCTCAGCTCACCGCAACCTCTGCCTCCTGGGATCAGGCAATTCTCCTGCCTCAGCCTCCTGAGTAGCTGGGATTACAGGCACACGCCACCATGCCCAGCTAGTTTTTTGTATTTTTAGTAGAGACGGGGTTTCACCGTGTTGACCAGGACGGTCTCGATCTCTTGACCTTGTGTTCCACCGCCTCGGCCTCCCAAAGTGTTGGGATTACAGGCTTGAGCTACCGTGCCCGGCCAATTACTTTTCATTAGTGTATTTTAAAGTCATTATATAAGGAATGCATGATAGCTGTTTATTTTAAAATGCATGAATTATATAGATTGTTATCTGCATCTAATGACTAAGAACAAATTCAAAGATTTTAATAATGCAAAGAAGTTTTATGTTGCACAGATTTAAAGTTGTTATACTACCAAACTAATAATTTGTCAACTTAACACATACACACTCCATTAGGAATTCTTCTGTAATATTCTCTTCTAAAAGCTGTTCAACGATATGTAGAGCTTTTCTCTCAAATTCAATCTTCTTTCTCACAGCTGCTTCTAGTTCTGCTCTCCTAAAATTTGAAAACGAAGTTAACCTACTTATAAGCTTCATCATGTCCAATATTCCATGTTTTAAAATACAACACTAACCTATTTTGCCACTTAAATTTATATATATTAAAAAAATTTTTTTGAATAAAAATATTCAAAAAATATTTATTTTTCGAATAAAAATATCAAGTGATACTCCCACCTCAGCCTCCCAAAGCACTGGGATTACAGGCATGAGCCACCATATCCAGCCAATTTTCTAGTTTTTAATGCTGTTACTTTTGATCCAATATTTTTTCAAAAAGGAAACAAGTTACTTTTTGCACTGCACATACAGAAGTCTTCATACACAGGGTCACCTCTGGCTGGAGGTCTCGCCTCACTACTGGTTGTCTGTTTAATGTCTACTTGGCATGCAGATCTCAGCTTAAGGCTTTCCCTGAAAACTCACAGCCAACCTCCCTGCCACCCACCTCCATCTAAATTAGACTTTTGTTGTTCCTTCTCATAACATCACAGTCTTTTCCTTCATAGTTCTTATCACAATTTGTAATTATGTATTTGTTTATGTTAATTAACTAATTAATTTATTCCTATTTATTCCTCTGTTCCACTAGATTAGAACTGTGTCTATTCTGTTCACCATATCTTCAGGGCCTAATACAGTTCTGGCATATCTTGTACTTAGTAAATAATTTTTGAAATAATGAGTAAATTAGACAAAAGCCAATATAAAATTAGTGAGTCTTCACAAAATGAAAATCATAGCTATATACTAATCCCCTTCAGATTCTTCTACTCCTCTTCCGGAAAACTTTTGTGTGTTAAGTGGTAATATCTTGCCTTTTTAGAACCAGAACTAGTACACAACAACTTTTTGATGAAAATCTGGACTTGATCTAACAAAGAACAGAAAATGTTTCTTGGAGTGATAGAGAAACTTGTAGAGTGAGTCGCTGGCATATAAAGCAATAAAAGGAGAGTATACCTGAAGAGGTGAAAAACAAACAAACACCTTCTTTTTTTTTTTCAGAGACGGAGTCTTGCTCTGTTGCCCAAGGTGGAGTGCAGTAGTGCAATCTTGGCTCACTGCAACCTCCCCTTTCGGGGTTGAAGCAATTCTCCTGCCTCTTCGGGGTTCAAGCAATTCTCCTGCCTCAGTCTCCCAAGTGGCTGGGACTACAGGCACACGCTGACACACCCGGCTAATTTCTTTTGTAGATTAGTAGAGGGGGTGTTACCCAGGCTGTCTAGAAATCGTGAGCTCAGGCAATCCGCCCGCCTCAGCCTCCCAAAGTGCTAGGATTACAGGTGTGAGCCACAGTGCCCAGTCACAGACACCTTCTGCAGGCACTCATGCCTTCACTAGCAGTCTGAGTGCTCAGTCTGGTTTTCTTTTTCTTTCTTTTTTTTTTGAGACGGAGTTTCGCTCTTGTTACCCAGGCTGGAGTGCGATGGCTCGATCTCGGCTCACCGCAACCTCCGCCTCCTGGGTTCAGGCAGTTCTCCTGCCTCGGCCTCCTGAGTAGCTGGGATTACAGGCACGTGCCACTATGCCCAGCTAATTTTTCGTATTTTTAGTAGAGACGGGGTTTCACCATGTTGACCAGAATAGTCTCGATCTCTTGACCTCGTGATCCACCCGCCTCGGCCCCCCAAAGTGCTGGGATTATAGGCTTGAGCCACTACGCCCAGCCTCAGTCTGGTTTTCTTAAAGCCTAGAGTAGATGTATGTAACAGTCTATGTGAGAATTTATAGGCCTTTCCAGATCTTTCTCTTCCTTCCCATAATTTTCTCTCTCTAAAAAAAGTAACCATTATTGTTTTAAAACTGGTTCAAGTAATATGAGATAATTAGATATGTCAATGTAGTTGTCCACGTGGCTGCCATACCTTTTAGAAGCATCTTCTTGTTTCAAAGTACTTGTCTGTTTAGTACCTACAATGAAAATACAGTCAAATGCCACATAATGACATTGCCATAAATGATGGACTGCATGCAGACGGCGGTCTAAGCTAATACTGTATTTTTACTGTATCTTTTCTATGTTTAGATATACAAATACTATTGTGTTACAATTGCTTACAGTACTTAGTATAGTAACATCCTGTGCAGGTTTGTAGCCTGGGAGCAATAGGCTGTACCACATAACCTAGTGTGTAGTAGGCCATACCATCCAGGTTTGTGTAAGTGCACTCTATGATGGTCACACAGGGATGAAATCACCTAACAACGCATTTCTTAAAATGCATTCCCGCAGTTAAGCCACACATGGAGGCAGTAGGTCAAGTGTACACAAACACATAAGGTGCAAGATAGATTCCTACCTAAATAACAAACCGTAGACAAACTTTTTTTCTTTTCCACATATTTTATGTCCAATCGTGTTTAAATCAAAATGAAATAGGATGGAATGCAATCTGTTTTTGCAAATTGATTACTGTCTAATTTTTCTTGGTTAAAATGTTTCTATTTGGGGATTTAATTTTCTCCTCTATCATAGCTGCTTCATTAACCACTCCTGAAAAATCTGAGATCTGGGTACTGTTAAGGGGGAACTTCTCTCTGTCCGCCAAACATCCTCTCTCGGGTAAAAGGAGAGTCCGACACCTCAAAGAACTGGGCACCAAGCAGACTGGAAAGGAGGACCGGTCCTAGATTCAAGGCCAGCTGTCAATGCTGCCCTAGTCACTTGCCCAGAACCCCGGGGACCCCAGGCCTGGGTTCCCGGCACCTCCACTGTCCTTTCTCTCAGAGGCTGGGGCCACAGCCCTCGCAAGGGAAATCTTAGAACACTGGTGTAAAGGAGTGAGGGCCGGCCGGGAGATCTTTTCCAGGAGGTACAAGCACGGCGGTGGGAAGCTTTCGGCCTTCTCTGCCTGGGAGAACCCCTCCCCTGAAGCAGCCTTTCAGAAACTCCGGCGCGCTGGTTTGAAACTCGACCAGGACCGAGCTTTCAGGGTCCAAAAGTGGGAAGAGATCCTTGCTCCTACCTGCGGCGTTTCGAGAGCGGCGGCGAGTCCCGGCCTTGCGGCCGGCGGAGCCCGACCCTGGGCAGTCCGCCATGCGTGAGATAGCCTGCGGGACGGGGATCAGATCCGGCGTCTCGCCCTGAGGCTCCGCCTCCCTACGCAAAGCGCGGGGCGGACCCGGCTGGCGTGGGGCGGGGCCTGAAGAGCAGCTCTTGCGGCCGGAGGAAGTGGCGGCGGCTGGGAGAGGTCAGGTACCTGGCCGGTAAGTGGAGTCTTGGAGGGTTTCAGGGTGGCCAGGGCTCGCGGTTGGCCGTGAACTGCGGCGGACTTGGTGCCGCGGGCCGACTAGGCCACGTGAGGTGGTGGAGCCTGCCCGCCTAGGCAAGCAGGAATCGGAAGACATGGCTTCCTCTGATGCCGCCCGCAAGCGCGTTGCCCTGAGGACCACGCTGACCTGCGCCCTTAATGACGGCTTTTTCTGCCGGGAGAAGCGATGGTCTCTTCCTGAAGGCCGCTGATTACCTTGTCTCCGTGTGACAGATATAGTGATTTCACTAGATGGATTGATTACTTTGGGGACTGCAATTTCTAGAGAGAAACGGGATGGAGGGCATCTGAACCTTTACCCCCTGTGAGTAACTTGTGTTGGACCCCAATTTTTGTAAGGTGAGACATTAAACAATAAAAAATCCCTTAATGATTAGAATTTGATTTCAGGTCCTTTTGGAAAATTTTTTTTTCAGAAAATAAATACTTTGCCTTTTAAAAGCCCTTTAGTCCGTTATTTGCCTCGTCTCTTGGGAGTGCTTGAGAGGGTTTTTTTTTCCCTTCCAAGTAGCTTTCAAAACTAAGCTCCTAGAAAACTTGAAAGATGCAATAAAGGCTTCTGAAAAAAACACTTTATTTTCTTAGGCTAAGATACAAAGATTCGGTAATAACATTTCAACTTTAAAACTTTACATTTTCTCCTACCATGCTATCGGACCAAAAACACAGAACAACAAAAACTCTATAATTTTCTTTATTGGATTTAGTAATAATTTATCACACTGAAACATAACTTTTGAATACTTTACTGTAATATCACAGATAGCTGTGTTTTGTATTTGTAGATTTTAGCATCGAAACTAGGAAAAATAGTAATGGCTGTAGAGGAACTTCAGTCCATAATAAAGAGATGTGTAAGTATGTTTTTTATTTTTGTAAAATTAAATACCTTTCAAAATATGGGAAGGGCACACATTGTTTTTAATTATATTTGTGGTCACTCAAATTGTTTATCTTCTTTAATCCTTGCTTTTTTTGACCTGTAAAGAGCATGAGTGGGGGAGGCAGATTGGATTATTTCTCCAGGTGACATACTTATTTAAATAACCTTTTACATTTTAATCCTGATCCATAGATTTCATTGGTACAGTAGATTTCAAGGTTATTTATTAAAGTATTTATTTGGGTAATCCTAATTTTGATAATGTGTTATTTATGTTACATTTATCTAGAATTTAAACAGTTCTTTTTTAATAGATAAATCAAGAAGTTACTGTGTTTAATTTTTACTTGCATACACATTTTTTTGTTTGTTTATTTTGTTTTTGCCAGCAAATCCTAGAAGAGCAAGACTTTAAAGAAGAGGATTTTGGCCTATTTCAGTTAGCTGGGCAAAAATGTATAGAAGAAGGGCACATAGACCAGCTATTAGAAATTATTCAAAATGAAAAGAATAAGGTACGTACAATCTTGGTGTTTACTTTTCAGTCTTGGGAAGAGAATAATTACATGATGCTATTCATCCAGTCATTTATTCATCAAACATTTAAGAATCTGCTTATATTTTCACAATAGGGAACTGAAAACAAAAAAAGAATTAGAAATATTTATGCTGGGCACGGTGGCTCACGGTTGTAATCCCAGCACTGTGGGAGGCCAAGGCAGGCAGATCACTTGAACCCAGGAGTTTGAGACCAGCTTGGACAACAGAGTAAGACCTGTTTCAGGGGGAAAAAAAAAAAAAGAAGAAATATTCATATACTTGAAGGTGCTTACAGTCTGGTCAAACAGATAAATGTGTAAACAACTAACAATAATGAGGCAAAATAAATAAGTGCTATAGTTGAAGTAAAGAGATTTTAGAAGGAATAGAATTACTTCTGGTTTAGGGAGTCCAAAACTGGTGTTTGAGTCATTAATTTACATTGAGAAATATACATATCAAGCAGGCTAAATATTCATTTTGGGTGATCAGCCCATTCTCCTCCAGCCAAAAGTGTATGGAAAACCAAATTTTAATTAAAACAGTATTTTGTGTGCATAGAATTGGAACAGGAGAAGAACTGTATGTCATACTAGCCAGTATCATCCAGGTACAATAGTTTGAGAAATCATTCTCCACTGTAGAAAAGGATCTTGTTTGTGGATCAGGAGTAACTTTTTCCTGGGACACTATGTTGGCAATACCCTGCCAAATTTTGTGTCTTTGGACACATTATAAGGAAGACTGCTATTGTTTGACTCTGTGTCCTCACCTAAATCTCACCTTGAATTGTAGTAATCCTTATGTGTCAAAGGTAGGACCAGGTGGAGGTAATTGAATCATGGGGGTGATTTCCCCCATGCATCTCATAATAGTGAGTGAGTTCTCACAAGATCTGAAGCATCTGGCATTTCCCCTGCCGACACTCAGTCTGTCCTGCTGCCCTGTGAAGAGGTGCCTTCCACCGTGATTCTAAGTTTCCTTCCTGAGGCCTCCCTAGGCATGTGGAACTGCATGTCAGTTAAACCTCTTTTCTTTAAAAATTACCCAGTCTTGGGTATTTCTACATAGCAGCATGAGAGCAGACCAATATAAAGACCATCTTCGTTCTAGATACATTCTCTTTCTTCATTTGCAGTGCTATTTATTTATTGAAAGTTTTCTTTCTTACTATCACGGTGTAGTCATGTTGACCTGTGTTTCTGTCCAGGGAATCTTGATTGGATATGGGGGATTCCTAAAACTTGTTAATCGTACATTGTTATATAATCTCTTAGTAGTTCAAATGGCTTCTCCCCTGTTTATTTTTTATTAAAATAACTAGGACATTCTATTTAATTTTGTTTTTGATATATGTTTATGATAACTTTGTAACCCCCTCATATAATAAATTTTATGTTTTTTAAACTCTTCTTGATTTTTTTCTGATTTCATTCTTAGAGGATAACCTTTGAAAGTAATTAGCTTTTAGCTTATAAAAAAATTAATAACTACTAATATTTATTGAGTATTTACATGTACCAGATGCTGTCTTTAGCCCTTTACATTTATTAACTTAGTCTCTCCAAAATCTCAGAAGGTAGGTGTTCATTTTGACTGAAAGGTTAAATGACTTTCCCAAAAGTAAGTCAGCTTTTATGTGACATCCAAGATTCAGACCTGTGTAGCATGGTTTTGGAGCTCCTAACCACTCTGCTCTACCTCTGGTTAGTGCTGTACAGCATATGGTTTGAGGGTAGAATACAGGAAATTCGTTGATTGAGAGCGTAAGGGGTCAAAAATGACTGGGTTTCTAACCTCTGAAAGGATAATATATGATAATGTGAATAGAAAAAGCCAACCTAAGTAGAGGGAGAAGTTTCCTGAAGGAACACAAGTAGTTGACTTTTAGAAATTTTCAGTTTAAATACAGCAGGCAATTGGAAAATAAGGTTTTTGAGCTCAGCAGAGATACAGGAATTAAGACGTAGATCTCTGAGACACGTATCTCTGAGACTTTAATTACCTAAAGATTAGGTAATTGAGGGGGAAGAAAACAAGAATTTACCTGAGTTCACAGAAAAGGGGCATAAGAGAAGAGCCCCAAGATCCCACCTTGAGAAATTTAAGAAAGAGGTAGAGAGAAGAGGCCTGGCAAGAAGATGAGGATCAGCACCACGTCAGTGAGGCAGAAGGAAAAGGGAAGTATAAACAAATTATTTTTCAGACATTGCATGCCTCAGTGTTTTATCTTTAGCATGCTTTTGAATAGCTAACAGGATAGATTTAAATAATGTGAGGCTTAGTCTTAATTTGAGAATCACTTCTTTAATGTCTGGTCAGCTAAATGCAGAGGTTTAGATATTGATAGGACAATGTTCAAAACTAACTACAGGTCAGGCACAGCGGTTCACACCTATAATCCCAGCACTTTGGGAGACCAAGGAGGGTGGATCACCTGAGGTCAGGAGTTCTATACCAGCTTAGCCAACATGGTGAAATCCCGTCTCTACCAAAAAATGCAACAGTTAGCTGGGCGTGATGGCACATCCCTGTAACCCCAGCTACTCAGGAGATGAGATGGGAGAATTGCTTGAACCTGGGAGGCAGAGGCTGCAGTTAGCCAAGATCGCAACACTGCACTCCAGCCTGGGAGACAGAGTGAGACCTCAGCTCAATAACAACGACAACAAAAAGCTGACTACAATTTAATTTTTTTGCCAGATGACACTATCAAGATGATCAAGATTTACTATTATCATCAACTGTAAAAGTGAATTAAAGAAAAGTGATAAAAAGATTTACTATTAACTGCTTTGCAAGAGACCATTCACATACCTTTTGTTACAGTATATTATTATAATTGTTGTAGTTACTGTTAATCTCTTAATTTATAAGTCAAACTTTGTCACAGATATGCATGTATAGTATTTATATATAGCATTTGGTAGTATTCATGGTTTCAGGCATCCACTGGGGGTCTTGGAATGTACCCCCTACAGATAAGTGGGGAGACTACAATATCCTATACACTATTGTCTTATAAGACTGGAGTCGCCGGACGCGGTGGCTCATGCCTATAATCCCAGCGCTTTGGGAGGCCAAGGCAGGTGGATCACGAGGTCAAGAGATCGAGACCATCCTGGTCAACAAGGTGAAACCCCGTCTCTACTAAAAATACAAAAATTAGCTGGGCATGGTGGTGCGTGCCTGTAATCCCAGCTACTCAGGAGGCTGAGGCAGGAGAATTGCCTGATCCCAGGAGGCGGAGGTTGCGGTGAGCTGAGATCACGCCATTGCACTCCAGTCTGGATAACAAGAGTGAAACTCCGTCTCAAAAAAAATAAAAAAAAGACTGGAGTCAAGATGCGGTATTATAGGTATCATTTTGTCTTCTTGCTAGATTAGCTTAAAAAAAAAATT